AGTGTACCAGTAGTGAAACGTTGAAACCTATTTGATACTCCCGTTAACTGATTCCAATAATATAAAGTTTTTAACGAACTTACAGCTTGAAAATTTTTGTCGTCTTGCGCGATTACCACCTTAAAATTAATACTTTAAGTTACAGTAATAAACTCATATTAATTATTAACAATTATTAGTAGTTAATTGTAACAATTATTAGTAGAATTTGAAATAATTTATTATCATGATGTGTAAAAAATAATTGTGTTTGGATATATTACCGTGTTTTTATTTGCAGATTTCTTAGAAACGTTCTTTCCTAAAATGGCCATTCCAATATTATTGCCATAAAATATTGAATGTTCTGTTGATGTGATATATACCGATTGACTTTGTAATTTAGTCACAAATTCAGTATGTTTATTAGCTTCTTCTTTATTTGGACATTCTAGTAGCCTATCTAGTTTTATTTTATATATTTCCTTTCCCGCCGCAATAGGATAATAAAGTTCTAAAATATAAAATAAATATAAAAATATCTTACGGAAATTCCGGCAAGAAATGACGATTTTTGCAAGAAAGATTTCTGATTTATAGATTGTTGTTAACATCTCCATAGGGTAGAACGGGACTAGTGTTGTGACACTTTTGCTTTAAACTATTATAAATCTTTACACAATTATGATAGACTAATGATAAATGTTTTAAAATGTTGCATTTATCTGGCTCAATAATTAAATACTTGTAAATCCTTAAAATATCTCGTAAATAAGAAAAAAATTACGTTAATTACAAGAATACAAAGTGAATCAATGTATCTCATCTATGGGGCATGTTGAGCATCTCCGAAAAATAAATTGAGCCATAAAGATAATCGTTTATACATATACAATATTATTAAAAATATAAAAGGATTATGTGTATATTAAATTTTTATTATTTTTATCTTAAGTATAATAATTGGTAATATTTTTTTCTTTTTAAATGCATTAATTTTGACAAAATTAGGAAAACAAAAATTTTTATTCTTTATAATAATAATGCAACGTAAAATATATATTTAATCGTTAACATAAAATAAAAAGCATTGATAAAGATTTTATTTAAGCAGTTGAATTTACAAAGTTATAGTTATGAGACTACTGGCCCAACAAATCCCATATCGATGTTGACTGAAATATTTTTTTATAACTAAAAAAGTAAATAAAATATCAACTTGAACATTAAAGTTAAAAAATACATTAATAATTTATATCTAAAAAATGCATTTGATTGTTATTAATTGCTTTAATTACTACGTAGACTAAAAAGAACATTCACTTAATAATTTTACTTTCGATATACGAAAACGAAAAATGCACGTGTTTGATTGTTAATAACCGGACATAAATTATTGTATTAAGCGCAGTAATCTCTGTCTTTGTGCTATCTTACGCAAGCAGACGTATCTATATATATTTTGATTATTTAGATATTTGCATTTGCCCAACTTGCTCCTATGCGCAACTAGCCCAGATCTGCCCTACACTAAAAGACGCATTTGATTAAATTAAATTAAATTTTTTGATTCAACAATTTGTTGATTGAATATGTAAATACGTTTGTATTAATAAAAAAATGACAAGATATACGGTCGATCCCTGCTGTTCGCGGCGCGTGCTCTTGTCGCCAGATACTACTATCTTTTGATACACAGAAGAATCAATGTTGATTACCAAATTTTTGTAATAGCTATCTAAAATCAGTTCAACCAAATGTTTTCATTAATAACCAATCATAATTTTATCCGTACGGATTTACTGTTTGGTAATATTAAATTTTTGTAAGGATAAGATTATGTTTCATTATATTAATCAAAACATTTGATTGAACCTATTTTAGGTAGCTATTACCCAACTGTTTTTTCTGTGCACGACGTAGCGCCTTATAAATAATGGCTACGTTCACAGAGAAAATGAATCAGTTAACGCTTAATTTGTAATAATTCTTTAATATAATTCTTTAATAATATTGATTCTTGCCTTTAGTTCTTTTGCTGGATCTAATGTAGAAACTAATCATATTAAAGAATCACTAAGCACTAACTGATTAGTTTTCTCTGCTGGATGCAGCCAATGTAACTACACATAAGCCTCGGTAGTATCAATTAGAGATGGGTCTCATATCGAAGTAAATACTTTCGAATTATGACTTCCCATTATGGCTTCTGCAATTGACAGCAAGCATCAAAGGTTTCCTATTCCGACTTCAATGTTCTCACATTCTAATCAATTTTAATTAGATGCATCAAAACATATTAATAAGAAAATTTTGTAATATTATATTAACATACAAATGTTTGGTAAATGTAAATAAAATACCAATCATGAATTTAATTTATACAAATTTTTATGTTAATATTACCAAATTTTCGAACTAAATTGTTTTGTTGTGCCAATTAAAGAACGTATTTTTTTATATCCAAACAAGCGATTTTGTTGATTCAATTAAAATGCAGTATAAATATATATGAATAATATTAATATTAATATTAAAAAAGATAATTACAATTAAATATGATGTAATTCAGGTTAAAATTGATGTTAAATTCTTAATTTGGATAAAATGATCGTTTGTATATTCTCTTTTTTTTAATTATAGTAATATAACATATTCTGTGCAAATATAATTTAGTATCACATTTAATTGTACATATATATATATATATATATATATATATATATATATATATATATATATATATATATATATATATGTACAATTAAATGTGATACTAAATTATATTTGCACAGAATATGTTATATTACTATAATTAAAAAAAAGAGAATATACAAACGATCATTTTATCCAGAAACTGTGTACATTCTCCGGGAACATATGTGAAAGGCGCTACTAATAATCCAATATCCTTTTCGTCAGTAGCCATGTCAAGTGGAATATAAATAGTTTTAACTAACGTATCATCTTTTAAATCGAAGATCAATAATTTTGGATTGCAAATTTGGTTAAGTCCGACTTCACCAGAATCCAAAACGAAGATATGATTGCATTTAATCTGTAAAGTGTAGATAAAAATTCAATTTTATATACTATCATTAGGTCGATTGTTGTATATGTGCATACGTAAATATGAGTAATATATAATAAATGATTGATCATGTAAATATATTGTTATATATAAATACAGAATATAATAACGTCTCAAAGAAAAGATATCAATATACTTACATATATTCGGTGAACATTGACAATACCATCACACATGCAACTTGTATTATTATGCCAACTCCAATCAGGATATGGGCGCAAAAGTGGCCCACCTGGTCCTGTTGTATTAGTTACTGTTGCCAAACTTGCAGGTACACCATGGTCAAAATATTTCGGTGTAGAAATAAATACTCTGCCATCTATAAAAATTTTGTTCATTAATTTACGTGCTCTATTAAAAATATAAATATTTTGTGAATTTTATGGCACTAGTGATAATATTGCATTAACAACACTGCATTAACAACAAAATTGTATATGCAATAAAATGTACACTTTATAATGTGATTATATAAACATTAGTTTAACTAATATCTTGACAAAAATCAGAAAGCTTAAAAACCGTTGACAATCATTCAATAACGATTCTTTTAGTGTTTATACACTTTGTGTAAAAAACGCTTACACAACATCATTGGGTTTAAAATATTTTCAGAACGCTCATAAAAAATACAGTATATCGTTTTTTGAAAGTTCTGTAATGTTAAAGCAACTCTTTTCAGAGGAAGTTCAGTAAGCGCTGATGCATCTTCGTGTAGAGATGCATCTTTACTGTCACTTGGAGATGCCGAAAAAACGTTCGACTTTGTTTTCTAAACGCTGCAGCTTTGTAATTTTCACTTTACGGAACACTACTGAGTGTTTCTACTCTCAAACGAACTCTTGCAAACGTTTATTTAAACGTCCAAAAAACATTCATGAAACTTCTTATTTTCATCAGGATATACATATAACCATATTATACTTTTTACTTGTTAGTAAAACCGTAGGTTAAGTTTTGTGTGTTATAAGAAAAATATTAATATTTACAATATGTACAAAATGATTATAACTTTTTCGAATATTCTGTTATCAACCAACCGTCTGCTTTAATCGCATCGAAGAAGAAGCATAAGTGAGGATCGTAAAATTTCGAATTTATAGCATTTTTCTTCTGCTGCTGATTCTTCCATTCATATTCACAATATTTCCATTCATATACAACATTCAATTCTACTCCAAAACTCACAATTGCCGTCGATAGAATTATTAGAATGCACAAAGAATACTTCATTTTTACCGTAGCCTACAAATAATAATGTTGTCTAATCAACTTGGTTAAAGTTTTTGCGACAAATTACACTTGTACGTAATAAATACAATAATTTATACTAAATAGCAATTTTTTGAATATTTTTGCGATGTTTAATAATTAGATCTGTGATTATTTTTTTGGATTGTGATACTAAAATACTCAATATATATTGGTAGATAAGTATATCGACTAAATGCGACTACGACGACTGGATGTTATTTATATTCTTTTTTAACGAAAAATATTTAGATAGAATTATACAATTCTCATTATATAATTTGCAATCATAATCATAGTCTTGTTAAAATAGAAATGTAATTGTACATCTATATGTGTAGATAATTTAAGATGTGTGCATGTATGTATATTAAAATTAAATTATTTAAATTATTTAAATACATGTATGTAAATACACATGTATGTTATTAGTACAACTGATACGAAAAATGACGTATTTCGTTGTTTTTATAGATAATGTGATAAGATAAAATATAATCGAATCGAAAGATACGTGATATACACGTCTGATGTCTATTGTAAGATTTTAAGCTTCCCATCAATTTTTTCGACTGGTAGAAAACCGACTTTCATTTTAATTTCATAAAATAGTATTTTAGCGCATTATTCACGTTTGTCTTTTAATAAATTTAACAAAATGAATTTTATCTTTTGATAAATTTAATAAAACAAATAAATTTATTTTTTGACAAGTTTAATGACAAAACGTAAATATTATATTATTACTGATTAAAACATCTGTGCATAAGCCACATCAAAATCTTTTTACTTTTCAAAAATTTATGAGTATCTGATAGCTTAATTATAGGATAAAACTATTGGTTGTGGATCATTCTTTAAAAAAAAATTAATATTTTTATCCAGAATAGTATTGAAACAATTTTTTTACTCTTTATTTTAGTCCTTAAAATTGATTTTTGATAAAATTAATTTAAGGATTAAAAAGATTATTCATATTAAGAACAACAAAAAATCATTGATCAATAACAATAATCACAGAGATGATGACATGATTGCGGTTTCTGAATCTAAGTAACACAAAAAAAAGATTTTTTATACTTCTGTTTATAAAAAAATGTTACTAAATCTGCCATGTACATGATCAATAAACACGTTTTTCAAAAATGAGTCGTTAACACACTTAAGAAATTTATAAAAATGCATAAAGATGAGAATAAATATATGTTCTATAATAACGTAAATAATAACGTATAGTATAAAATCAGTTGCAAAGACTGTAACACTTCTTACATGGGGCAAACGAAAAGGAAATTAATATCAGAATTAAGGAATACATGAACAATAAAACTGAATTTATCGAAACATTTACTTATTACAAATCATAGATTAAAATTCTATCATATCTTTCTATGAAATGGGAAAAATTAAAATATTATATATGGAATTAAATTATAATAAAAGACTAATTTCAGAGATATTATAAAAGAGCAAAATAATGGAATTACTGTGAAAACTAATACCGAATCTTTTGATGAGAATCTTATGTTTGTTTTTATTAGACTCTTTTTAAACTATATTGTGGATAGATCCTTTAATTTATATATAAGCAATCTTTAACCTCTTACCATTTGATGTCAGGCGTTTGTGCGATAAATTATATTTCTTGTTCAATATATATTATATATTACATGTACTTTCTTCTTGTTCACAATCTGTAAGTTGCTACAAATTTAAGTAAATTACTAAGTTTTCCTTACAATCAGTTTTCTATTAAGATTATCTTTATTATTTAATAGTTTTTAAAAATATAAAAAAATTGTTTTAACTTTAACTTAAAATTTTTTATATAACCTCTGATCATGATTAAATTCTGACATCATCCGCATTGTCGTTGCTTGGTGGTAAATATGTTTTTCAAAATTTGACGTTACCCGTTCTCGCCGAACCAAAGAATTAGTTTACAATGAGTTTTATGACATGGACACCATTCATCGTAAATATACAATAATTGCCTATTGATACCGCAGAGAAGATGTGACATCTGCGTTTATTTGTATATGAGATAAGATTCTTAAATAATCTGATTTATATTATATTAAACTTATGTAATTTTTTTCGAGTTGCTGAAAAGGACTAACAATAAGTAAAGTCCGAAACGTGCTGTATATATCTCATAAGAATTATTATAGAATAATAGAATAAATTAATCAATTGTCACTTTGTTTGCTCGTTTAAATTTGTTGATTTTGTATTTGATTTATTATTGCTTTGCAATCTTACGAGCGTGTAGAGAATATTTTAGAATAATTTAATATTTTTAATATTTAATCATTAAAATTGATCTAATAATTCAATTGAACATACATTAATTTATAAAGCATACATTTCGGCTCCAAATCAAATTATCCTTGGCAATATAAATGATTAATATACAAATTTTTTTAGGGCATTAAATTAACGTTTTTATTAAATGAAATAAATACTTTCCCATTATAACACTATTTATTGAACAAAAAGTGCTAAAAACGAAGGCTGTTGGAAGTCGACATGATAAACGAAGCACATGCAATAAATTTAACATAAAAAATCATTTAATAATTCAATTGAACGTACTTCGTTTCATAAACCGTAAATTTCGACATCAAATTGAACTAGTCTAACTTACAAATGATTAATATACAAATTATGTTAGATTCGCATTCTCTACAAAAAAAGGATAAACTGGAATATAATATAATGGACTGTAGTCACAAAGGCGAAGCAAGTACTATCTCAATTTGAAACATTGCTGAAACAGTTACATAGCTACATAGTTGTGTGTCTTTGGTACCTAACAGAAACACTTTCACAATTCCGCTCAACACTATAAACAGATGTGCATTATGATGTCAATGAAATAAAAGGTTAAAAGTTAAAACACATTTTAATATACAGATACATGTACATCACTGTTTAACGTCCAGCGATCATGTCTTTAATACTATACGCTGAATAATAATGACGACACATATTTCTGTACGTAATAGAATAAAAGATTAAAATGTATTTTAATCTTTTATTCCATTGACATTATAACACATGTATATTTGTGGTGTTGAGAGGAAGTGTTTATATGCATTTTAAAACTAAAAGTCATACATTAACGAAATTTAAAAGAAATTTTTTGTTTTATATGAACTAAAGTTTTCTTATTGAAGAAAAACTATTTGATAATATACATATAACTAATCAAATCATTGATTAATTATATGATGATATTAATTTGTTGAATTTACTAAATAAACAAATAATTTAATAATACAAAATTGTTTTGTATGATGTTTATAAATCTTTTGTAAATAGGAATAGAATATTTTGTTATCGGAACAAAATAATTGCATAAGAATAATATATATTTCTCACTTTTTGCAGAATGAAATTATGTTTGGCATTTTTGAACTTCCTTAGTTTCAAAAATTTATAGATTTATATAATTTAATTTTTAATCGTCCCGGTTTTATACATATCGAATTTCTCTTACAAAAAGACACGCCTTCTCTGACAACTTCTCGAAATGCTCTTCGCTGTACCGTAGTAGATTATTTTGTTGAAATTATTAAAAGGATACTTCTGTAATGATAACCAAACTTTATATTGTTATTTACAATACATAAATAACCAAATAAATGTGTATCATTAGATAAAAAAATTTGTTCATAACAAAGAAATACTATATTTTACTATTTTAACAAAATAATCCAATCGCCGACTTGTGAATAATTCTCTTTTTTTGTTATTACTATATCTTTTTTTCTCAGTGTATATCCAGTGTATATCCAGTGTTCTTACTATTTAATGAACTTCACTTAGATGCAATAAAAAAATTAATTAAAACTTTAATAATATTAACATACAAGTTTGGTGAACAAAAGCTGAATAAAATATCAACTGAAGAATTGTCTTATAGAAATTTTTACATTATTATTACTAAATTTTTCAACTAAATTGTTTTGCTACGTCAACTAAAGAATTTGTTTACCCATATCTAAACAAGAGATTTAGTTGAATCGATCAAATTCTGTTTAAATTATTTAAATAATGGATTTATTTGTGCTGTATGAATGCATACATGGACATTAATATTAAATCAAAAAGAAAAATTATAAATGAATATGATAAATGCAGGTTAAAATTTACGTTAAATTTTGAACATTCATCATGTATGATAAGATTGAATATTATAACTGAAATAATATTTATTGTTATATTTTGAAAAGCAAGCACTTACCATCGTCGATGATTGTCATACTGATACCGTCAGAAAAAATAAAATTGCCTGCTACAATGATCAAAGTATCAGTCAGTTTCATATAATCATATTCGATTCTGCATATACGCTTTCTAGACGAGTCATACATCACTAAAACCTTTTGTATCAGCTATAAATATTTATAAATATTTATATGTGTAACCGAAATAACGACCACTAATCGTATAATGCTATTCCTAATAAAAAACTAAGTCGAAAAATCCTCTACCTTTGTAATTTTCGCAATAGTTAATGAGATATTAATTAATTTCCAAATATTGCCGAATAAACAGATAAAGTCGATGTATAAGAAACTACTTTTTCGAATATTCTGCCATTAATCTACTTTCTGCTTTTTTTTGTATCTACGTTCTTGTAAGGGTCATAAGAGCTTTAGCATTCTCTTTCTGTTCTTGATTGTTCCACTCAAAGTCAAGATATTTTGATTCATTGTACAACGTTTACTTTTAAACTCACTAAAACTCACAATTGCCGTCGATAGAATTATTAAGGTGAACAAAGAATATCTCACTTTTACCCTAGCTTTTAGCCTAGAAATAATAATGTTATCTAAATAATCTAGTTGATATTTCCGCAACGAATTACACTTTCAATTAATAAATGCAATGAATAGCACATTTTTGAAGATTTCTACGTGTTTTAATAATTAGGTCTGTGATGACTTTTTGGATTGCAACAATAAAATAATTTA